ACCTGACAGGGCCCCCCAAACCACGAGGCCCCATACAGCCAACCTGACAGCGCCCCCCAAACCACGGAGCCCCATACAACCAACCTGATAAGCCCCCCCATCCCCACAAAAAACACAGTTTACTAGGCTTCAATTATAAATGAACACGGTGATTGATTGGTACCAATCACTCATTGTGTTCATTTATGAAAGAAAGGGGCTAAAAAATTTAATATATTTACAAGACCCTTCCCCCACTCTCTATCCTGAAGGATCCTATTGTATGCAGCCGATGGGAATGAGAGGAAGGAAGCCAGCAACATTACAGGGGTGGGGGCAGCAGGGGGACCTGTAGGGTGTACAGGGAGGGTGATGGGGTGCACCGGGGGGAGCAATTGCTGTAACTGTTTCCCTGTATGGATCTCTCTGCAGCAGCTGAAAACCAGTGGGAGGGAGGAGGAGAAGAAGCCGGATTTCAGCTGCTGCAGAGAGAGCCATACAGGGGATTAGTTCCAGTAATTGCCCCCCCCCCCACCATGCCAATCATCCTCCCTGCCCACATCTGATTCACCCAGCTGTCTGGGCCCCTCTGCTGGCCCGGGCCCCGTACAGGAGGACTGGTGGTACCCCCATATCCACAGCCATGGCAACATCATGTGTACACTCCCAGTTAAAAGGGGGAGCAATTGGGGGGGGGGTGTTAAAAATGACTCAACCATGTGTCTTTACCACCCCCAACCGCACATGTGAACAAGCCCGTGGTTCACATCTGTGAAACAACATGCGTTTGCCAATGTGTAGCGTACCATTAACAATTCATGGCACTCCCAAAGGGCAGAGCTTTTGTCTGCGTGTCATGAATGAGCACAATTTTGCATGCGTTCCGCGGCACGCAGTTACGTGAACCAAGCTTCGGACAGGGGTGCCTCGAGACTGAAAATACTTTTCAAGGGCACCCCGACTAGAAAAAAAGGTTGAGAAACACTGCTTTAGAGGCTTCCTTTTGCTGCTGACAACACTGGACCATATGTCCATTCAAGTGTTCTTTCCTGGTCTCCCCACTGTGGGGTGTTCAGATGACCTCCCCTTTGAAGAGGGTCAGTTTTTTGGACCCTTACAGTCTGAACCCTCCAGAAGGGCCTGACTGACACCTGCAAACTTCAGCTGTGTCAGGCTTCTTATGTGATTAGCATTGGTAGTTGGGGCTCACCAATGGGGAAGGTTATTCTGCTCAAATCCTCGCTTAGGAAGCTCACTCCCGGTGGGGCATTGATCCCTTCCTTATCTGTAAGGAAAATTCCCCTTCTTCTTTAATGGTTTGTAGGGTGCCTAGGGAATATTCTCCCAAAGTAGTCTTTCCTTTGCCTTATTATTCTCAGTCCTTTTCAGCCTCCCCTTCTATGTTTGGGTTTGGGATGAGACATCCAGATGGTCTCTCTGGACCAAGAAATTCCTGGTGCTACCGGTCAGTCACTTGAGGTGAATGGGGTAGTTTCCTCCTCTGCCATGGAGGAACTCCACTTGCTGGTGTGTTCCCATACCCGGGGCTTCAATCTAGTTCCCCTATACAGACAGTTCCCAATTCAGAAGTGAATTCTTCCTTAACTCAATACTCTGACCTGGTCTCCATTAGACATCACTCAGGTGTTGCTGGACCATCATCTCCAGGAAGATCTGGGAGCCTTCCCTGTGACAGCTCAAGCTGCCTGGTCCCTGATCACGTTAAGTATGCTATGCTTGACTGTATTGTTGTCCTTACGGACAAGACAGCACCATTTGGCTCTCCTCCACTGGTGGTCTCCACATGGAGGAAGGAGGATCTTGTACCTGGGCACTCCTTATCTTCTGCATGGCAGGAGGTATCCATTTCTGGATGGTACTGTGTTCCCTGGATTGTCACCAGGCTGATAATTCTGGGATCCTGTTGCCATTACCTCTGGGGGATATACTATGTCCAGAGGGCTACATGAGATCTGATCACTGGGAGATAGGTTCTCCTGCTGTGGCTGGGAATATTCTGGGATCCTGTTGCCATTACCCCGGGGGATATACTATGTCCAGAGGTCTACATGAGATCTGATCACTGGGAGAGAAGTTCTCCTGCTGTGGCTGGGAATATTCTGGGATCCTGTTGCCATTACCCCTGGGGGATATAGATAGTATGCCCAGAGGTCTATATAAGATCTGGTCACTAGGAGATAGGTCCCCCAGCTGTGGCTGGGAATATTCTGGGATCCTGTTGCCATTACCTCTGGGGAATATGTATGTCCAGAGGTCTACATGAGATCTGATCACTGGGAGATAGGTCCTCCTGCTGTGGCTGGGAATATTCTGGGAACCTGTTGCCATTACCCTGGGGGATATTGTATGTCCAGAGGTCTACATGAGATCTGATCACTTTGAGATAGGACCTCCTGCGGTGGCTGGGAATATTCTGGGATCCTGTTGCCATTACCCCTGGGGGATATAATATGTCCAGAGGTCTACATGAGATTTGGTCACTGGGAGATAGGTTCTCCTGCTGTGGCTGGGAATATTCTGGGATCCTGTTTCCATTACCTTGGGGGATATTGTATGTCCAGAGGTCTACACACTGACTACCACCAGGGCTGTGGATAAGGGGGTACCACCAGTCCTTCTATATGGGGCCTAGGCCATCAGGGGGGCCCAGGCAGCTGGGTGAATCGGCTATGGGCAGTGTGGGTGATCGGCACAGTGGGGGCACTTACTGAAATCGGTCCCCCTGTATGGCTCTCTGAAGCAGCTGAAAGCTGGCGTTTTCTCCTCCCTCCCACTGGCTTTCAACTGCTGCAGAGAAAGCCATACAGGGGATCGGTTCCAGTATTTGCCCCCCCTCCCGCTGCATCCATCACCCTCCCTGTGCACCATACATTTCCCTCTGTTGCCTGGGCCCTCTGTGTGCCACCACACCCACAATGCTGCTGGCTTCCTTCCCTTTCCTTTCCTTTCCTTTCCTTGCCTTTCCTTTCCCTTCCTTTTCCCTTTTCCCTTTCCTAGCCTTTCCTTTTCTTTCCTTTTCCCTTTCCCCTTTCCTTGCCTTTCCTTTCCTCTTTCCTTTCCTTCTGCAAGCACACAATAGCATAGTAGGAGAAGGGCCCCCCTTTCCCTACAATAAATATGTCACATCTACCAGCCCCTTCCTTTCCTGAATGAACACAATGAGTGATCGGTACTACCGCATAGTGAACTGTGTTTTTTTTTGGGGGGGGCTGTCAGGTTGGCTGTAGGGGGCCCTGTGGTTTCTCTTTAAACAGCAGCTCTGACTACCACACTAATGTAGATATAGTAATGTTTGGCAGGGGTTTCCCTGAGACTGGAAAGCTAATCCAAGGGTTCCTCTGTGCTGAAAAAGTTTGAGAAAGGCTGGTCTAGTAGCTCTTTTTTCAGGTTTTCCAGGTTGTTTCACCTGTTTTGGTGGATCGATGATGGGTTCCCACAGCCTAGTGCTGATTCGAGCTCAATGATCCATAGGTAATGACATTGCTCTCTGTCATCTCTGTTTTGGTTTGGAGCAGGGGCGGACTGACCATTTGGAAACTCGGGCACTGCCCGAGGGCCCGGGGCCAGTAGGGGGCCCCATGAGATGCCCCTGGTACCTTTTTCATAGGTTTTTTTTTTTAGTTTGTGCAAGGACACAGGGGCCCATGATCCCCTATTGCCCGGGGGCCCCATGAGTTGTCAGTCCGCCCCTGGTTTGGAGCACCAGATTGATCCATTGTGGTCTCCCTTTGGTCGTGGCAGTTCCCAGTTTGGGCACTGGTCCTTCAGATATCTCCGTGTTCCATATGGTTTCCGGTACATTGAGTCTGCAGTGGAAGTTGCCCACTTGTCAGTTCAACTGCTTTTGGACTGTTAATGAATTTCTGTGTCCCTCTTTCTGTGTACTTACCATAAAATCTTTTTTCTTCTTGTTTGTTGAGGGACACTATCACATACCTGGTGTTAGAGGCCAATGGAGGAAGGGCTTTCCTTGCAGCTAAGTTCCAGACTCCCCTGGATATGGGACAGAAGGAGTCGGGCCCAAAGTAGCACGGGTCGCCTGTAGGAGTGCTTGTTAGAGGTGCACCCAGGAGTGCAGCCGATGCACTGGAATGGTGTCAGCAGAGAGATGGCGCCCGTGAAAGGTATGCAGGCCTTCAGGGTAGCAGAGAACCACAGAGTAGTCCGTTTAAAGCCACGGTCAGATGCCGGGTGGAGATTGGAGCAAACATAGTCAATAGGCTAGCCGGGGTCCTACACAGGAGAGCAGGTGAGAATATCTATTAGCCAAGCCGGGTCAGATCAGGAGAGCCATGCAGAGAAGACAGGTCCAGGAACAAGCCAAATCGGTAACAGCAGATCACAGTAGCAAAGGAACATAGATAAAGGTACTGGGGAGCCAGAGATCAACCAGCAATTTGAGGGCTTCCTTATAAGGGCCATCTGGCACCTAACTGGGCGTGTTCTGGCTTGCGTCCGTGAGCCAATGCGCATAGATTTTTGCCATTTTGGCAGCTATGGAAGGTACTGGCAGGAATGCCAGGTCTCCGAGTACCTCTGCTCAATAGTAACTCCCAGCTCTGCTGATCCCCCACTTAGTAGTAACCCCCAGCTCTGCTGATCACCCACTCAGTAGTAACCCCCAGCTCTACTGATCCCCCCACTCAGTAGTAACCCCCAAGTCTGCTGATTCCCCGCTCAGTAGTAACCCCCAGCTCTACTGATCCCCCACTCAGTATTAATTATAAGCTCTCTTGATGCCCCACTCAGTAGTAACCCCCAGGTCTGCTGATCCCCTGCTCAGTAGTAACCCCCAGCTCTGTTGATGCCCTACTCAGTAGTAACCCCCAGTTCTGCTGACCCCCCCCACTCAGTAGTAACCCTCACCTCTGCTGATCCCCCCACTCAGTAATAACCCCCAGCTCTGCTGACCCCCCCCCCACTCAGTAATAACCCCCAACTCTGCTGATCCCTGCTCGGTAGTAACCCCCAGCTCTGTTGATCCCCCACTCAGTAGTAACCCCCAGTTCTGCTGATCCCCCATTCAGTAGTTCAGGACAAGGTAAGGATCGGGGGGGGGATCGCAGGACAAGGTAATGATCGGGGGATCGCAGGACAAGGTAAGGATCGGAGAATCGCAGGACAAGGTAAGGATCGGAGGATCACAGGACAAGGTAATGATTGGGGGATTGCAGGACAAGGTAATGATTGGGGGATCGCAGGACAAGGTAAGGATCGGAGGATCACAAGACAAGGTAATGATTGGGGGATCGCAGGACAAGGTAAGGATCAGGGGATCGCTGGAGAAAGTAATGATCGGGGGGATTGCAGGACAAGGTAAGGATCGGGGGGGATCGCTGGAGAAGGTAAGGATCAGGGGGATCGCAGGACAAGGTAAGGATCGGGGGATCGCAGGACAAAGTAAGGATTGAGGGATCACAGGACAAGGTAAGGATTGGGTGATCGCAGGACAAGGTAAGGATCGGGGGATCGCAGGACAAGGTAAGGATCGGGGGATTGCAGGACAGGACTACAGTGTAATCCCGAGTGTGGCTAGGGGTTACCGCTTTTGGTACTGTAAATGAACCGAGCCACACTCAGGATTACCGCTAGGAAGGTTAATGACATCCGGGGAAATGGACTGAAGGAATCATCCTCTGGACACCCAAAAGTGAGAGATTGGTAATCCTCCTAGGCCGGTCTGATTCTAGTGTTTGTACACGCTGATTTTTGTCCTTTATCAAGTAAGTGCATTTTACTATATAATACATTTTGTTATTGGAGGATTTTACGCTTTGTGGAGAAATCTATTTTTCCATGTCTAATGCCATGAGCTCTGGTCTCATACGGGATCTGTTGGGGGGTGGGGCCACCCCTTTAGTGGCGTCTTCGGATGGCGGCGCGGCCTCCGTCCCTGCGGTGGCGGACATCGGTGCTTCCCCGTCGGGTTTTGATGCAGGTCTGGGCGAGTTGCTTTCTGGCTTGCGGGACTTGCTGCGGTGCCTTGAGCGAGGTGGTAGTGTCGGCTCTGGGGCGGCTTCTGCGTGGCTCCCTTGTGCTGGTGGGGATGTGGTCGGGGGCCTTGCTGAGGTGTGGGGGTTCACAGTTTCTTCTTTTACATGTTCTGGGCCGGAGGTGGTTACAGCGGAGGCCTGTGCTCTCGGCCCTGCGTGCCCATCCACACCTTTGGGTGAGGGTGCGTGGGTTTTGGAGCCGGTCTGCCTGGCGGACTCTGCTAAGTGTAAGGTGTATGTTTGCTTCGAGGGCCGTTAGGTGCGCACTTGCAGCCTGATGCCTGGGAGAAGATTTGGAGACGTGAGTATGTCAAGATCTTCACACTCCTGCCTCTGGAACGCTTTCCTTTGGATTTGTCACCGGTTGAGGAGGGTAGGCGGGAGGAGGCGGAGAAGTGGCGTTTTTGGTTTATGGCTAGTGTCATTGGGGAGAAGGCTCCAAAGCATCGCTCGGCGCTCTTCTGTTATCTCAACGCTATTAGCGAGGCTCACAGGGTTTACGGGGGTCACCGCTTGGCTCCGTTACGATGAGCAGCAGCGTAGGACCGTCCGCCCATCTTTGTGTTGGGACCACAAGGATATTGGCCTTTGGATGCGACTTATGACTCCAACATGGGCCTCTGGTCAGTTTTTTTTCAGGGTGGGTCCGGTGGTTCGTTCTCCCCGGGGCAATCAGCCGCAAAGCGTAGGGTTTCTGCTAGAAGTTCAACGAAGGATCCTGCCGGTTTAAACATGAATGTTCCGGTTGCGGTGGCTCCCATTCCTTCTTGTGCTGTTTCAAGCAGGGTAAGAGGCTGTGCTGGTTAGCATGCGGGTAAGAGGGACGATGCTGGTGAGAGTGGAAAGGATGCGGCCTTTCCTAAATACAGTCAGGTCCATAAATATTGGGACATTGACACAATTCTAACATTTTTGGCTCTATACACCACCACAAATGGATTTGAAATGAAACGAACAAGATTTGCTTTAAACTGCAGACTGTCAGCTTTAATTTGAGGGTATTTACATCCAAATCAGGTGAACGGTGTAGGAATTAGAACAATTTGCATATGTTCCTCCCACTTGTTAAGGGACCAAAAGTAATGGGACAATTGGCTTCTCAGCTATTCCATGGTCAGGTGTGTGGTTATTCCCTCATTATCCAATTACAATGAGCAATAAAAGGTCCAGAGTTCATTTCAAGTGTGCTATTTGCATTTGGAATCTGATTTTGCTGTCAACTCTCAAGATGAGATCCAAAGAGCTGTCACTATCAGTGAAGCCATCATTAGACTGAAAAAACAAAACAAACCCATCAGAGAGATAGCAAAAACATTAGGCGTGGCCAAAACAACTGTTTGGAACATTCTTAAAAGAGAAGAACGCACCCGGTGAGCTCAGCAACACCAAAAGACCCGGAAGACCACGGAAAACAACTGTGGTGGATGACCGAAGATTCTTTCCCTGGTGAAGAAAACACCCTTCACAACAGTTGGCCAGATCAAGAACACTCTCCAGGAGGTAGGTGTATGTGTGTCAAAGTCACCAATCAAGAGAAGACTTCACCAGAGTGAATGCAGAGGGTTCACCACAAGAATGGAAACCATTGGTGGACCTCAAAAACAGGAAGGCCAGATTAGAGTTTGCCAAAGGACATCTAAAAAAGCCTTCACAGTTCTGGAACAACATCCTATGGAGAGATGAGACCGACATCAACTTGTACCAGAGTGATGGGAAGAGAAGAGTATGGAGAAGGAACTGCTCCATGGTCCTAAGAATACCACCTCATCATGATCATGGTGGTGTAGTGTCATGGCGTGGGCAAGTATGGCTGCCAATGGAACTGCTTCTCTTGTATTTATTGATGATGTGACTGCTGAACAGAAGCAGCCGGATGAATTGTGAAGTGTTTTCGGGAATATTATCGGCTCATATTCAGCCAAATGCTTCACAACTCATTGGACACTTCACAGTGCAGATGGACAATGACCCAAAGCAGACTGCAAAAGCAACCAAAGAGTTTTTTAAGGGGAAAGAAGTGGAATGTTTCTGCAATGGCCAAAGTCCATCACCTGACCTGAATCCGATTGAGCATTCACATTCACTTGCTGAAGACAAAACTGAAGGGTAAAAATGCCCCAAGAACAAGCAGGAACTGAAGACAGTTTGCAGTAGAGGCCTGGCAGAGCATCACCAGGGATGACACCCAGCGTCTGGTGATGTCTATGCGTTCCAGACTTCAGGCTGTCATTGACTGCAAAGGATTTGCAACCAAGTATTTAAAAAGTGAAAGTTTGATTTATGATTATCATTCTGCATCCCATTACTTTTTGGTCCCTTAACAAGTGGGAGGAACACCTATGCAAACGTGTTGTCAATTCCTACACCGTTCACCCTGATTTGGATGTAAATACCCTCAAATTAAAGCTGACAGTCTGCAGTTAAAGCATCACAACTTGTTCGTTTCATTTCAAATCCATTGTGGTGGTGTATAGAGCCAAAAATGTTAGAATTGTGTCGATTTCCCAATATTTTATGGACCTCTGACTGTAGATAAATTCATTTGCATTTTGTTGGGGGACCAGGTGGAGGGGTCCTGTGTTCTCCTTCTGCGGCTGGGTTGGAGTTTTTTATCTTTTTGCTCTGCGTGTGTTTCTGAAAGGTTGTTTGTAAGTTCTTGTCTGTTTTCAGGTTTTTCAGGTGTGTTGGTGTGCCTTGTGTGGATCCTGCGGTCACTCCTATGTGTTTTGGGGGACCAGGCTGGCTGACGTGAGGGCCTAAATGGCAGGCAGCTGGGGTTGTCTCGGCACTCGGCCTGCGTCCGCTGGATTGGAGTGCCTGGCATGTTTTGTGTGGCGTCTGACATGGTCGCCCGCACTTCTTGGGCGTTTGGCGCTAGATCAGTGGAGCGGCTTTAACAAGGGCCGTATAAAAGTCAATAAGGATGCGGTCGGTTCTTTATCCGCAAGTGAGGGGCTGGTTTGTCCGGCATTTGGAGTTGAAGGATGACACTTGGCGGTACCTTCGAGTGTTGGTGTGTACCTGAACGCAGTGGGACGGATTTATAGTCCCTGGGTCTGCAGGATCGGGTGCACAGCGGGCCGTTCGGGTGTGGCGTGGACACGCATGGGTAAGGCTTACCCAGCGTGATGTGGCGGTTGTTGGTCTTGTGAGGCAGCACTTATTTTGAAGCTAAAATAATGGTTTGGGAGCGCCATCGGCGGTGGTTATGGTGTGCACAGGGAGCATTCCAGTTTAAGCGATGGTTTTACACTGGAAGGGCGGTGGTTCTGCACTGCGGATGTATGTTTTTTTAATTTTTGAATTATTTTTTTTTACTTATTATTTACTCCGAGCGTGTGCGTGTGCGGCTGGCAAAAGGCCTAGTTATAATATTGTGGTTTCGCAGGTGGGTATCGGTTCTGGTTTGGTGCCTTTCGAAGACCTAACAACTTGTTGCTGCTATGTTTCTGGTTTCTCAGCTAGAGTTTTGTGTATTTCTGAGTTTTTGTTCTCTCGTTAAAGGCCGTGGGGGCCCGTGTGGCCATTTTACTCCAAATGGTGTTCTTTTTTCTTTTTTTAGACCTACCTTGGCGGTCTGATTTGTTTCTGATTTTTTGGTTGCTGAAAGCGGGGTATATGTTTCTTGTTGGTAATATGTAGTTCTTATTTATTGTAGGTCTGTAATTTTTAAGGTTTATAACTCACTTTTTATTATCAAACCCGATACAAGAGATTTAGTTTACTATTTATCCCGGGGATGATAACATCCCCCCCCACCCCCCCCTTATTTTATAATTTTAATAAAAAATTCATAAAAAATATTAAATTTAGTATGTTATAAAGGTGAAGTGTGATTAAATGTTCGAAGAGAGTTCAATGATATAATTTCAAACAAAAACACCGAAATTTTGAATACAGAGGCTATATTCGCACATCGCTGAGCTCAGTCGCAGAATCGTTTTTCAGTGTCTGATGAGGAATTTCCACCACCAATCATTACTCATCATTTGCAAGTGGTTCCTGATTTACTTCGCGGTCTCTAGCCGGTTCTAAAACGCGTCTGACCTAAAGGGCGCCCCTTTTTTGGCGCCCTTTGGGCGTTTCTCCCGTTTCCAGGCAGAAAAAAACAGTAAAAAAGCCCGGAGGGGCGGACAAAGCATCGGGGGCAAAATGTATGGAAATGCATTGAAACCCGCAAAGTTTTACTATGTAATAATATTTTTAAAAAAATATTTTTTTAAAAATTTCAAACGGTGCCGTTTCGTCCCGACGTCACAGGGACCGGAACACAGGGAAAACCCGGGTGCCCGGGATCGGCCCGGGGGAAGGGGGGAAGGGGATGCTGAGGGGGAAAACCCTGCAGGGGCGAAAGGGGGCAAGGGGAAGTGCTGAGGGGGCCCCCTGAGCAACACCGCATGGTAAAACCCGAGTGTTAAACTTGGGGGGGGGTTACAGCTTTTTGGGGAAATCCCCAAAATTTTCCCGACTACCTGGGAATACCCCCAGGGGAAAGGGTT